TTTTTTTCATTATGAAGTGAGTTGATGCATAATGTTCTGTATCCCAAAGATACCTGTGTGCCTGCCGGAACCCCCATTTCTGGTAATGCAGGTAGACCATCAGCAGTGTGCCAGGCGCACAGGCTGTTCCTGGAGGATAGCGTGGGTCTTCAACCCTGATGTGCCCAGAGCTGACACTTGGGCATACCAGAACTGTCAGACTCCACGTCCAGCTTTTCTTTGTTTGTCTGAAGAGGAGACTGTCCTTTGCACAGCTGTTAAGATGGCATCCTAAGGAACACTTAAATAATAGAGATGTCTGTGCATTGGGAAGGAGACTTGTTTACGTGTTGTGGCTTCCCATCTCTTTTCAGTCTTTTGCTTCGGGAATCAGGCCAACCATATTAGAAGAGAAAGCCAATAAGGGAGGCCTCAAGTCTCTCTTAGGGACCAAAAATAATTAAGAGAAACATTTAGAGTCAGTAGATATAATGAAGCCCTGAATCCATGTTAGCTTAAAGCCTGTTAAAATATGGCTGTTTTTATAATAGAATGTGGTCATAATTACTCATATGAGATAGGAACCGAGGAGTTGGACTAAAGCGCTCTTCGGTGTAATTGAATTTGTATAACATCTGTGAGCCGGGGGGGGCTCTGTGCCATGTAGCCAACAGATTGTCCTCAGGCTGGCCAGGGGAAAGTTTCCGTGCTCCTTCCCCTTCAAGGGGCCACCTTGTTTTCCCTGCAGGGAGTGATGCATGATGAGATTGTGGCTCAAGGCAGGAGCTTCCCCCAGTAAGAAGGGGAAGTACAGAGTCCTTATTTACCCTTTTGTGTAGAGAGATATTACCCACCAAATGTTTTGGAGTACAAACAAAGCATTGCTCAGCGGGTAGCCTTTTTTCCCTGCTATTAATGCCCTCCTTGTGCTGTTTCCTCTGCCCAGCTCCAAATCCAAGAACCAGGAGTGAAACAGTGGTGCTGCCCTTGGCATGTGTCAGTGCCAGGGAAAAGTGTAGACCTCTGCCAGGCTTTCATAGTAGGGTTGTGCCTTTCCTGCACCTGTTCAAATGTCCAAAATAGAAGCATTCTCAGAAGGTCTTATTAGAAGACCAATAAAGAATAACTATTTGGGATTTGCACTAAAAGAATAATGTGTTTCTAAAATGTTTAATTGGAAGTACTTCCTTTTTTTAGTCTCCTCGCCTGCAAGCTGTTCTTTAGAAACGTCTTGAGAGACCCGTTCATTGTAATTGTGGGAAAAGAGTGGCATTTCTTGTTACAAAGGAGTTTTTTTTTTCTTAAGTAATGCGGTTTCCTGAAGGGAGTAGCAAACAAGAATGGGAACTGAAACAGAGTTTCTCCATTGCTAAGATTATATAGCCTTCAAGGCTATGCACAACCTGACAAATTAACTTAGCAGACAAAGGGAGAGTTTATATTTGAGAAATTGTTTATTAACCTGGTTGGAGTTTAGGTTGCCCTTAAGACCATCCTCTCAAAGTATTTTATGTAGTTCTGCACTGCGTGTGTTAATTTACAAAATATATATATTTGAGCAAGTACTTGGACGCATTAGAACGTCAGGTGAGTTGTACTGCAAGCAGATTATGCTCAGAGAGATGACACTCGTTATATGTTAAATACATGCAGAGCAAGAGGTACTGCACAAAGGCACTGCTAATTAATTACATTAGGTGGAGACGCTTTTACTAGTAAGATTTATGATGCCACGAATATAATTAACTCTGTCTCAAATCCCACATACTCAGCAGTTCACAAAAGTTGTCGGGGTTCCACAAAATGTGCGCTATCTCACTTCTGCCGTGTCGGCAAATTCTGGTAGGTTATCTGTGGTCCTCGTCCGGCACAACTCCAAGACAGAACAGGCAACTTGTCTCAACTAGTTTATAACCTGCAATTTGTGGATTTTGGCATAGAGGAGACTGCATATAAATGTATTTATGTGCTGTGAGCCAGCAGCCTGGCTTGCAGCCTTTGCTAATGTACATTCAAGGGAAATGAGCAGAAGTGCTGATGGACAGCTATGGACCCTGCATCTCCATAGAAGCGCTCACTGCAGCTTTTTGTGCCACGGGGCAGTCCTTTCAAAGAGAGGCATTTGCCAGACACCTGCGACAGTCAGTCTGCTGTGGAAGAAAACATATCCTTGTGGACAAGCTAGGCAGGAAAAAAAAATCAGTGAAATGAAGGTTCAAGCCTTACCAGCTGAGTCACTACTTCAGAGGGAGAGGCTGCCGCCTTTAGTCCATTTTGCTCCATGATAGAATAATCATGTTCAGGCTCTGGCTGTCTGACTGCTGCCATCTTGTACCAGAGAGAGAAATACATTTTAGGTAGTCACAGTATGATGAAAAAAAAATAGAGAAAGCCCATATTCTGCTAATAGTCTGACACTGTTCCAAATTGTATGGCAAGAGAGTCACTAAGCCTAATGACAAAGCCATCTACTCTAATGCTCTGTCAATAACAACATCAAATGTAATCCCCAGATGTTAGTTTTATGAATTTTATCATCATCACCTATTGTCAAGCTGCTCATATGAGAGGGACAATTATGAGATGCCAAACTTTTGATTAGGGAATACATTGCAGTTAAAAGGAAAAAAAATTCTGCATAACACAGAAAAGCGTACCAGTTGTACCATTAGCTATGAAATATTCTATGCCTTCAGCTAGAACTTCAAGAAGATTTTTAAATACGTGAATCCCTATTTATGGATAATATTGCTGAGATTTATTAAACATCTCTCCTTTACATTAAAAAGTAGGCACTACTTTTTCACACATTTTCAATATGTCTTGTATTCTTTATCATATAAGTTGATTTACAATGACCATAATAGAATCATTTTAGAGCCTGGAAGCTGTGAGATAGTATTCATAAAAATAACAAGGTAAAAAAAAATACATAAGATAAAACAACTTCTGTTCTAAATGAGAGTTCTGGATGTCACAAAATCCTGTCCAGTCTGTTTTTGTTTGGTTGGTTTTGTTTTTGGACATTTTCTTGTATTTAACATCTATTAAACACATTTTTGGGTACTGCTTAGTAGTATAAATTTAATATCCAGTACATTAATATCCAGTCCTCTGTGAGGAGACTGTATTCTGCCTTTCCAAGAGGATGCACTGAATAATCTAGTAAATCTTTTCATCTCTAATAACTTAAAATCCTACTTAAAAGCAGTTAACTGAGTCTTTGGTCTGTTGTTCTCTGTATGCCAGTATGTGAGGGAAATGCACTGTAATTAAATCTTTTAAGATCCTCTTGTTCCGAATATGTATAATTCTCTGTTGTAGGAGTCCACAACAAGTCAAAGGAAAACAAAGAGCAGGAGTGGTTATTTACTTTCTCTTAAATATTTGATCATTTTGGACAGACTTCTACCTTGCTTACAGTAGCTGCAAACCTCACTGAAATTAACAGAGTTGTGCCAAGTATTTTCAGGATAGAATTTGAATTACTCTTTTTTCTCACTTTTAACAATAATTTGAATAGTGACAAGATTAACATGTCTATGTTAGGTCATATGAACAGCAAGACAATATTCTGAATTGTTCTACAAAATGTACGGCTGGCTTTTCTGCTGGAAGAAGTAAAAGCACATAAATTCAACTTGACAGGCTTTGAGATTGAAAGTGTACTGGCAAAAGAAGAGCTATGTGCCTCATTAAGCAGATTTACCAAAACCAAAAGATCCTTCTAGCTTACAAGTATGAACTGTTGCCATATTAATAATTTGCAATGATGTAATACTAGTAAATATTCCAAGCACATGGCAGTTTCTAATTGCCATTTGGGGAGTGGGATAGTCAGGCACATGGATGAAACATTTTGTGCAATAGCACGCTTTAAATCAGTGATAGCCCTGGGACTAAACCGAGTCCTTTGACCTGCCTGCTGGCCAGTGCTGCCTTCCTTGTGTACAGGAGCCCTGTAGCTTCACCACCTGAGAGTACTTCCCACCTTTTCCCATATGTTTAAGGACCTACTTCATTCTGTCTTTTGTTCTGTGCTTCAAGGGGTTTAAGTGATTGCTGTGCTTATAAATAATTGTAATTCCCAAACAATTTGATGTACGGGCCCTTAGGGCCCCAGCAGCCATGACCAGACAGCCCTGGAGCCTCCACCACTGCCTGCCAGGGCCCAGGAGCTCCGCCCTGGGCCTTCAGTTGTCCCCGAGCTGTGCTGCCCTTGTGACTGTCCGCAGCCCTGTCTCCTGGGGAACCTGTGGCCCGTGCTGTAGGTAGCTGGTCTCTTGTATGCACCTTTTGCCTTCCAGGTTGGTTTATATGAAAAAAAAAAATTACTTGGGCTGTCACTACTTCCCATTCTGGAGAACTAGGGAATCTCATGTGACAGTGAGATAGTTAGATGTCTGTTATTTCAACAGGCCAACATGCTATTTTCTGTCTTGTTACACGTTTGATCCTCTTTGAGTGCGTGTGTTATTCCTCTCTCCAATCTTGATTCCTCATGGTTTCATCAGCTTTGAGGTCTGTATCCAGGCCACCTTGTTTATAGCTGCCTATCTTCTGACCATCCCTATCAGCCCTGGCTCTTTCTTCCCAAGCTAACAGCCTGCTTGTGGAATTTGAGCTTTTGTTATTACTGATGCCCAAACTGATTCAGCAGCACTTTCTTTAAAAGAGAAGAACAGACTTTTTTTTTTTTTTTCTCTTGGTGCTTTATTACTTGTAATATATGATGAAACAGATTTATTATTGAGCAGACAGTCAGCATTTAGCGTCTCTAAACAGAAAAAATACACTTCCCAATTTTGCCCTTTTCTGCCCTGGTGAACGTAAAGCTCCCTTCCCTCAAACTGTTTCTGATATGGATTAACACTACAGCAAAGATAAGTTTAGAACCTCTTAGGAGCCTGTCTGGATTAAGAGCAAAATGAGGAAGGACTAGAGTTGCATTTTTCAGCTCCCTGCCATTATTTTACAAATAGACAGGGCTGAGAAAAAAGGAAAAGAAAGACCAAGGGACCAGGGATTTATAGCTCTTCTGTTTCACCGCTCCTTGGCACGTTGACCTCAATATGGTAATCAGAGGAGTCTCCTGAAGCCATCCAGGGTATTGGAGTTCTGTTGAAGGAGGGTCTGTTGCTGAAATTCTGGTTGTATAACATGATAGATTCTGGAAGCAAAGGGCCAATCTCAAACTGAGGCACTTTGAAGGTCATTCGTTTGGCTGCTTTCTCATAGCCCCCATAAGGCATGGCAGTCCTGGCATAGGGAACAAACGACATTAGCGCGCAGGGCATGGTTAAAGAATGGGATTTAGAAACTGTACCAAACTAATTTTCACCAGTGTTGCTGTGTCACTGACTAAGATACTGTATCCAAGAACCTACGCACCTCTATTGCCTATGTGCTCTGCTCCCATGCACTGCCTGCAGCCCTCCCACGTGATCCTCCGTGACACCGTCCGCCTCCCGCACCTATCCGTGCCCCACACGTGCAGGAGGCAGGGGCTCTGCCATTGCAGAGAGCAGTGCGATTTGGTTTGTCCTGTGTCCCAGTGTTCTGAGGCCATGGACAAACGTAGAGGTTAACAGAAAGTTGTTGTTGCACAAGAAATATCTTTATAACTCTTCTTGGTTTTTATCAGAAGGGTCCGGAAGTGCCTGATTCTTAGCTGAAATAATGTGAGATAGATGGCTTCTGATCACAAGCATTTTTCCCTGAACTCCTGAACTTGAGGATATAAGCAGCAATAAACAGTGGCAAGCAAATCTTTCTCGATCAAAGGAATGAGAAATAGGATTAAAGTCATGTTATCCTGCTGTGTAAGTTTCATATCTATAAGCTGAATTCACATCTCTAGCTTGTAATGTAGTTTCTTTTTGTAACCCTTCAAAATTTGAATCCATGGGAGACTGATAAGTAAAAGGACATATCTCTAAAACTTATTTACACTGCTTTAGACAAAGACAGGGGGGTGCTGTTTAGGGATGTGTTTCTTATGCAAAATAAATTGAATTAAATATCCAAGTAGTCTTACCTATTAAAAGACTTGTAGTGGGGGAGATCAGCTTTGGGACCATATGACAGTAAGTCAATGGTGAAGTGACATTTGTCCTGAGGGCTGATACCCATTGCTCGCTCCCAGGGGGAGATGTAAGTTTTAAAGATTGCGACTTTTTTCCCTCCTGATTTGCCATCTGTAAACAGAGGAAAGAAAAACATTCTACTCAGACACACTCCCAATACATCACCTTTCTGTACTGTGCTCCTGAGGGTGAGGCAAGAGCTTTGTCTCCTGATGCTCCAGCTTCCAAACCCAGTTCTAGTATTTACAGCTTTTTTCTTAAAAGAGACTGTGTTGTGGGCCGCTTCCATGCTCATCCACAGAAGCATGTGTACCACAGTCTGAAAGCTACTGATCCATGAATTTGCGCTAGCGCATATATCTGAAAGCTAATTTTTCATTGTTCCATCTGGTTGCTCTTCCCCTAAGAAGAAATGTCCTTAGTCCACCATCTCTTCCACTACCTCAGGGAAAGCTTTTATGCAAGCTAAAATGCTCTCTAATTTCAGAATTAACTTTTTCTTTCCCTGCCCGCTGTGCACATAAGCCCTCTCTCCCTGCAAACCTCACCATCAGAGGGGCAAAGCAAGTCCTGACTTTAAACATTGCAGAAACAGACTCAAACTTTGCATTTGACACTTCTCTGCCTGATCAAACTAAAACCTTTAACACTCATATTTCAGGACATTTGCACCCATAACCATGTTTGCTTTCTCAGGAGTCTGTTTGTGAATATTTTAAAGTTACCTTCTCTCATGTGTGAATATTTTTATAAGTTGGTGTTTTCTTTGTAGTTACATGACTGAACACTCTTACTTTCCCCTCCTCATCCAGGATGCCATAGGCAAGTCTGGCTCGAACACCTCAGGACTGACTAAGGGTTGTTTGAATATCTGTTTGGAGATCTGGTATCTGTGCAAGTTAAAGTCCTGTCAGTGACAGAGCTGCAGTTGTTGCCTTTAAGCCAAATGCTTGACTGCCAGAAATTTTAGGCTGTTTTCTGGCCACCTCATGAATTCAGAGGGTTACCTTAGACAAGCATTTTCATTCTATATGCTTTATTTTTTTTCCAGTTGTGCCTACTACTATCTTGCCAATAAGAGTGCTGGTTGTGTAGTGATGGTAGCAGCACACTGTCAGGACTCCCATCCTCCAGAAATCTTAGGCTGCAAGTGCTCCTTTCCCACCAGGGACTTCTAGGTTGAGGTGAGACAGCAGTCAGTGGAGTTAGTCGACATTCTGGGGCTTTTGTGACTACAGCTTGCACAGAAGGCAAGGCTCTGTGAAGTAAGTGGCAATGTATGAGCACTAATAGTTTTATCTGAAACTTTACTGCATCTTCTTTCTTGGCCTTGCTTATTTTCTTAAGTTTTGGTTTCAGAAAATTACAGACATACAAAAAATCTAATTTTCATAAAAAGAAAAAAAGAAGAGCAAAACCATCACCCCTTTCTGTGTGAAGGATGTAAAATAAGTACTTTAGAAGTAAATTGATTGCTAGGGTTGGAAGATAAAATAGTTGTATCCATCTCTGTAGTAAATACTGTAGAATAGTGTTTATTCTCCTTCTCCCTGCACACAGAAAAAGGATAACAATAGAGAAAAATCACCTTTAAGAGACATAGTCAACACAAATTTCTTTTTCACAGTGATATTCAGAAAAGCTTGCAATTAGTTTTATACAAAATGTACATTTGTTCAGAATGTAAATGAAAATCATGGATTTTACAAGTAATTTAAGGTTCATTTAATGTAGCTCTGCCCACTTCCAATGCAAATTTGCCTTTTTTTTTTAAATCCCACAGGAATTATTAAAATGACTATTCTTTTAATAAGAAATATTTAAATGACTCAGGATTATAATCCAGTATCACCTGCCTATAATGACACCTCAAAAAGAAGATGTCAGCCTGATCCTATTACTAGAGATTTGTTTCCAGAGCTTTCTGTCCAAATTAAATTGAGGATAAAATTAAGCAAGGACTAAATTTAAAGAAAAATATTATCCCTCATAAAGATATTGGTTCAATAGACTAGTGAGGATTACCAGATAATGTTTAGAAATATTGCTCTTTACTTCTGAAGATTATCCAAGAAATGATGTTCCTTCAGGCGAAAACTTTGATTTGAAATTAGGAGCCATACACCCAGACTGGTGTGTCGGATCAGGCTAATGGGCTGAAGAGCTGCTGTGACTGCTGCACAGAGTCACAGAACTGGTCACTGTGGAACCCTTCAGAAGAAAAGGGGGCACCCCATGTTGTATAACGTGCAGTACCAGCACAGTGTTACGTCAACCTGAAGAGCTCAAGAATTCAGAAGAGCTCAGAAACTCCCAGAATTTATTTGGTTCAGCCAAGACTGCGAATAAGCCACACAGACATGCAAACAGAACCCTCAAGCCAAAGGACATTCAACTTTTCTTGGTTTTGAAGCTGAGCTTAGTTTGGAAGCACTGAGGTTTTAACCAAATTAATTTATCTGTCCCTAAGAGTAAGATTGGCCCAAGCTAGTTTTATCTAGTTTTTATTCTTGCAGAGAGATACTTGCCTTTGTCTGCACCATCGCCTCCTTCTCCACCGCTTCCAGCCGATTCCCCGGCATGATCCCCTTCACCGTCCCCATGGGCTCCTTTGCTCCCAGGCCTGGGAGGAACTGGGGGATAGTGGTGCTTGCCGGAGCCATGCTGCCCTGCTGCTACTCCTCCTACCATGCGCCCGTGGGCATAGCCATGAGCATCTCCCCCGTAGTGCCCTCCTGAGGGGATGAACCTCTGAAAGTGATCCTGGAGCAAGAGAAGAGAATGTGGGAATCACTAATCCATTTCCACTTGCAGGCATGCCTCAGAACGTGCGTTCCCGACTCCCCAGCTCTTCCCAGACTCATGCCTCAATTGCAAAGCCAGTGGCAGAACAGCACAGGTTATTCTCTCCATGCAGTATAGGAGCAGTTATGGAACAGCAGCAAGGGCAACGCAAGGTCACTTTTTAGTGGGTGCCTCAGTCATTTTCTGATGAGGCTGGGAGGAGAGGGGTCAGTACTGTCCCCAGCAGAGATGAGGAGGTAGGGAGAGGCAGTACCTGCCAAAGCAGGTAGAGATCCAACCTGGCACACGTTACCAAAGCTCTGGGAAAGCAAGCAGATAAGAGAGCAGGTGTTTCATGCCAAGGTCAAGATAGCCCAGCAGAATCAACTGGGTTAGAGCTCGGCAAGTAAGGGCTACAGGGCCTCAAAGGCCCTGTGAAACCCTGCGAGGTGACTGTCACTACATCAGTTTTCCCTATCTGCGAAGGTCTGTATGGAGAGAGGTATTTACACATTGAGAAAGACTGAAGAGATAGCAGCAATGAAAGACTTTCTTGAGACCACGAGAGGATGAACAACAGAAAGGGGGAATTTTATTTTTAGCAGTATGTGCCCTGACAATGCAAATTTAACCCCTAATAGGGCAAGAGAGAAAGCTGTATCCATCAGAAAAGTAAAGCTCATCTTACTGTCCAGGCTGCCTGTTTGCCCTAGTTCAGGCTGGAGGGGACAGTCCCTGCAGTACATAGTGCAGGAGCAAATTGTCGGTGATTATTTTATAGACTCTATGGTGCCAGCACAGGGCCTTATTTTTGCACAAGGCATTTTTAATAAATGTTTCCATGGAACAGACAGCAATATAATGTTTACAGAAAACAAACATGTTTTATGTGTTGGGCACCAGTGAACTCCTATTAAAGATATAAACATCTCAGGCATTACATCCCACGTGGCTGTGTAACACAAGTCGTGTAGAGCATGTATTGCATATAGTCTTTCCTGCTGGATGGGATGATTGGTTATAGGCACACTCAAAAGTATCAGAGAAATACAGCTGAAGCTGAACGAATCTGTGGTTTCCCATGCTGCAATTGTGTCAGTTCTTCTCATGCAGTCAGTGGGAGGCCAGTCCCAGAGGCCTCAACGGGTTAAAGCTTTCTCAGGGCTCTTACACCTAGTACAGTTCGCAATAAGAAGATTTCCAGGCTGTAAACAGGCTTCCAAGGCCAGCTGTTGGGTCAGCTAAAAATAGATGAGACGTGAAAACCCTGCAAGGCTCAAGGCAGAATTATCTAACTGTGCTCCGTGTGTCTCCAGCAACAGTGTCCAGGGTTTCACGGCAGGGCAGAGGGCTGCAGCCCAGGCTTGGAGCCAGCAGCAGGCTGAGGCGGCAGAGCCGCTGCCCCCAGGGCTCTAGGGACTCTCTGTCCTTTTCCTGGCTGTAGGGAATTCCCTTTTTAGGAGTGGGGAGATAGTGTTCCCCTGAATGTCAGGAAGCACTGAGAAAGGAGATGGCTGTGAGCATGAAGCTGGAGCTCTACCCAGGAGCTAGCTGGCTGATTTTTTCAGTTGGGCATCAGAGGCTGTGTAACAGTAGAAAAGCAAACTGGAACATGTTTTTGGGGGTTGTAGGGATCAGAATGAGCCCATCTCCCCAGGTTGCTGTATATGCAAGGTTAATGCACGGACTTATTTGCCTCTCCACAGCTCAGTAATTTCAGAACAGGATTTGCATCTGTTTTCCTTCAAGTTTCACCTGCGCTGTTTGACCTTCTTGCAAATCAAATGCTTATTTGTCTTTTCCTATGCTTACTAACATGCAGTCTCCCTCGAAAAACATCATGAAACATGAGCATAATGTGATTACAGTAAAAAGGGCTGGTTTGATTTTATGCACAGCAGTATTTGATGTGGCCGGGAAGGGGCATTATTGTCTTGTCTTATTTTAAATTGTGATATTATCACTAAGTGGGAGTGAAGTTTCTCTGAAATACAAAGTTTGCCTCAGGAAAGCCAGACTTACATCCTGTTTAGGTGGAAATGAAGTTAGCTTGATGGGTCTTAGCCTGATTCATGATACACTGAGAAAACATCAGCAGACCTCTCCATTCAGACACTGATACCCATTTGCTGTGCAGTACCACTGGTCCACTCAGCTGCTAGAATTAGAATCTCTTTTTAATTAGTTTTGAATGCCACAGTAGATTGTCTGAGCTCAAACTTACAGGGGAGTCTTAACAGGAGGCAAAGGCTGGTTTGTCTTTTTGAGATCTTGACTCTTGGAGAACTCTAAACAGCTCACTCCAAGAGAGCAGAGCTCAGGACAGGCAGCCTCCAGCAGGAGTCTGGATGTAGCCAAAGCTGGGTAAGGGCAGCTACATGTTTGTGCCTAGAGCAGGCCTGGGCCCGATGTGTTTAAAGGGAAATGTGTTGTACCCTTGAGAGGAATGTGTTGCCTGGGTCTTTGCAAACGGAATGTGGTGCCTTTGCTGATACACCTGTTCACATCACAAAACCCAGCATCCCATGTAGTTTTGTTTGCAGTCCCAAGAGAGAAGCTGAAGAGCAGCTGAAGATGCAGATTCCTTCTCCTCTTGTCCCGAAAGCAGCTCCCACAGCCCTGCAGGGTAAGGTCTGCCCTCACCGTGTGTTGCTGGAGCAGAGGAGGTTCTCAGGCCCTGGGCATCCCTGTACCCACTCTAACAAGAGAAGAGTTGTGGCAATTCTTATGCTGCACAGTCCTCTGGACTGGCTAGATAAATTGACCCATGTGTCTTTGAAGTCCTTGGCCCTCACAAGATCCTGATCCCACAAACTGAGAGCCTAGATCAGATGAATTCTGAATTTTCTGGGGCTGCTCTCTGTGTCACACAAAAAATAGCTGATGAAAGATGATCCACCAACAGAGCTAGGATCTCTGAGTATCTCCAGGCCCTGACGTCACTGCAGGCAGTCCCCAAGCAGAGACATTGTGTGCTCCCTCACTGCTCCTTTCTCTACCCCAAGGAGAATGATTGAGACCACCAAATGTGTTTCTATTTCCGCCTCACTGATGAAGAACTTCCCAAAAGCTTGATGCCTGTGAGGTTACTAACACTTCTGAAGTTACTGTGACTCCCTCCCCTCAGCAGCAGCCGCTGAGATACTTCTTAATGGCAGGATGGGGGATATGAAAGTCAAGCATTGAGATAAGGGAGAGGAGAAATGACTGCATAAGACTGCTTGTTGTTTTTCTAAAAGAAATAGGGTGAAGGGATGCCCCTGTCTCCTTCATTTGAATTTGCACAGCCTTTAACTCATGGTTCACATTAAAAAAATGAAAATAAGAAGTGCCTCTATGTCTCTGTGCCTGAGTCTACCAGTCTGAAAGAGAATTTTCATCTAATACTACACAAAAATTATTTATCTCATATACTCTATATCATCCTTGAAGTATTCTCTTTTTGGTTAAACAAATTGAAGCTTTGCCTCTGCTCAGGGCAAAGTTTTCTCACAGTGCTTCATCAAAACTCTGTGGAGAAATGCTTAACCTTCGCTGTCATTCTCATTTCCACACCAATCACTTCTTGAGTAAGAAGGCATCAGGCTTCATGTTCACTTCTCTTGGATGTAGGTGGAACTCTCACTCTTCTGCAGGATGGCAGGTCTTATTTCATTCAAAGGTTTCCATCTCGACTCACTAAATCCACTTAGGTCAAGACCTGAGAGTCTTGCATATCTCAGTTTGTGGTCCTCCTTTTCAAGGGTTTCAAGAGATTTAGTCTTCACTGCAGAACAGGCTTTCTAGGAATAGTGCTTAACATTTGCCCTTTAGTCCTATCTCCAGTGATCTTCCCAGTGCTGCTGCTGGAAAGGTTGAGGGGCGAGCAGAGCCGTCAGTGCACTCCTGTGCCTTAAACCAAGTAGCCACATGACAAGATCTTCCACTCCTCCATGCTTACTCTTTACTGTATAAATTATATCACGTTTCACTGTTTAGTGTGTCAGAGCCTTGGGGCACAGTATTTGGGTGCTTCTGTCTGCTAAGCACTGGTTTGGGCTCTGTACTACAACCGCTTCCGTTTGTGTCCTTCCCCCCTGCCTACTCTGTCATGTTCTCTGCTTGTTCAGCAGCAAAAGAAATAGAGGTTTATGTCCATAGGATCATTATTCAGTTCTTTAACTTGCTTTTACTTCTCAGGTGCTGTTTCACATTTGGTCTCTTACTCTGATCTGAAGAGACTGCCTGACCCGAAGTCCAGCAGAAACCACTTGCCAGCACATGTCCAGCTTGGTCCATGCAAGTGCTGCCAGGACATGAGAACTGCTTTCATTTTAGCTTGTTGGCTAGTCTGAGGATTTATCAGGATTTTTGGTGCAGCACTGCTAATAATTGTCACTTACGGTATCGGTTGTTCCACCTTCCTAATAGTCTTAAATTAAAATATGGTAGATAAAGCAGAAAGAAAGAAAAGAAAAAAAAAAAAAAAGGATGATAATCTATCTAGATGGAAGCCTTTCTATAAACTGTTTCCTGCATGTTACTCAAATCAGGTCAAAGATTTTGACGATCAGAACAGACTGTTTATTGTTAAGATTTCCCTCTGGAAGAAACCCAGCATAACAGAGGTAACAGAAAAGCACAACCATGTTTTTGTTTTTGAGCATTTGCATTACACAATGATAGGCAGGAAGGTCTTGCGCAGGGGGTTCCCAAAGCAGGGGTTGGACCGTGAGTGGAATTATGGCAATGAGTGGGGTTGTATGGCTAAAAAATATGCAGTTTCACGTGATTTTGACATATTTCAGGCTAAAGAAATGTATCATTATCAAGTGGAGAAAAAGTCTCTGAATTGCTTAGCTAATTGCTAAACAGAAAAAAAGAAAGAAGAGAAGAGCTAATTGCTAAACAGAAAAAAAGAAGGAAGAGAAGAAAAAGAAAAGAAAAGAAAAGAAAAGAAAAGAAAAGAAAAGAAAAGAAAAGAGAAAAGAAAAGAAAAAAGAAAAGAAAAGAAAAGAAAAGAAGAAAGGAAGAGAGAAAAGAAAAATTTCAGATGCAGAGAAAATACCCAACCCCACCCTGTGATACTGGATAATTAATTGATCTACACAGTTTAGTTTCAATCTGTTAAATGAACATAGTAATTTCCTTCCTGCTAAGGCTGATCAGATGCTACAGTAGTACAACACACAGCACGTAGGGTTTTGTATTAGTCTTTAGACAGTAATAAATTGCACCTCACAGCTCCCTAGTGAGGTTGATAAAACTCCTGAGATGTGCAGAGTACCCATGTTCTTCCAACTTGGAGGCACATCCTGGGATAAGGAGAAGTCCCTTTGCTGATTTATCCTCACTAGCCAGAGCCCAGCAAAGCTCTCCAATGTGACACCAAACAGGGAGGACAGCGCATGAACTTTCCTCACTTGGTTTGCTGAAAGTCTCAAACTCAGCCTTCCCTGAAAACAACTCCTTGTACTGTATATTTCCAAGGGAAAAAGACAATATTGAAGAACCTGAGTCACAGTTTCTGTCTTTCGCGTGGGGCTGTCGCATTCATGCACACATAACGTATGGGTTTTCTCTGCTAGAAGTAAGGAGAGTGATCTGATCATCCAGTGTGGCTCTTTGGGAGCGGGAAAAGTAGGAGAAGCAGGAGGGTGGATCGATGACGTGGGGCCCCAGAGATCTGTTCCTTTTGGTGGAAGTTTTATGGCTCCAGCACAGGCTAGTCTGGGAGCCTTTAACTGGCATGAACTTAATTTTAATAACCTTTTTCTTTGTCCTGTTTTTATATCAGTTCTATTTTGCTCTTCTATTGTTTTTGTTGTTATTTGGGAAAAAAATAAATCTATCTGTACTCCATAACAGTCCTTTCTTGCCCTCTTTTGCTAAATTTGTCCAAAGAATTTTCTTAGACATCTAAGAAATCCATGATGTAAAAGCAGAAAACACCAACCAGTTTTGGTGGACCCTCCAAGGTCCCACAGTCTCAAAGGCACAAGCGCTCCTTTGGACTGGGGAGAAAAGGATGTGAAAATGAAGTGGAAGAAGCAAGTAACTGGAAATAGCAGTAGGAATTCTGTGCTCTGCCGTTAGCTTTCTCCTTCACTTTCCCATTTGAGCCCCCCTTTCTGCATCATGATCTGAGCATGAAGGAGAAGAATAGAGAGGAACAGCGATTGCAAATATTGCAATCCAAAGCCCTTTCTGAAGAAGCTGGTTTAGTGCTGCCCTGACAGTTTGGAAGAAAACAGTGAGGCCACCGAGGTACTGCCGTTACCTGCCCAGGAACAAGCAGCTTTCCAAGAAGACAGGTCAGTTACTGTGATTGCTCAGCTGTTCCTCTCACTGCTCTGCCTGCCAGCAAAAGTGCTAATTCGTGCTGGCTGTGGTGACAAGAACAGTTATCCACGAGGCAGTGGACGCAGCCCGGCGGAGTCCTTGGACTGAGCACACCAGGCAGCCAGCACGTGGTAAAAATTTTGTGTGTGGTCCTGCTGAGCTGGCCCCAAGCAAGGGCAGTGCAGCAGACCAAGCTCTTCCTGCACTAACTGATGGAGATCCTGCATTAATGGTATTTGTACCACAAACACAGAGAAAAGATAGACCTGCAAGTGAAACACTGGAGTGTTTAAAAGCAGAGCTTTTAAACAGAGCTTTAAAAACAGAGCTTTTAAAGCTGCTGTTTGGAGACCCTGCCATATAGCAAAGCCACACAGAAAATACTAGATTTGTTAGAGCCTTTTCCAAATGCCCATATTCATTTGTTTACAGCAAAGCATCCTACAGTCTTGTGCAAAGAACTGGAGTGATCTTCCAGAATAAAGGGAGAGATTCACTGCAGAAACCACATGGAGTGATTGCCAGGCAAAAAACAAACACAACTTCTAGCAAATTAAGATATTTCAGTGTCAGTAGTGGTTTTTGTGCAGATTTTCATATATGGAAGTTCTTGCAGAGTTGAAGATCATAGGTTCTCCCTATTCACTTAGTATTGGATTTTAAACTCATGTAATCTTGCAGTGGATCCTCAACACACACACATTCCCAGAGGAGTGTCCTCCTCTCCCCCAGGGCAGGGCAGAGTTTAGGTACCTTTCACTATTCTCAGCAAAGCAACTTCTCAGTTTCAATCTCCAACCTACCACAGAATTGTCGATGAAGGCGTCGGGGTTATTCTCGTAAATGAACTTCTCCACCCGCAGCTGACGTAGTTTGAACATCTTGGATCCTTTGTTAGTGAGGAGAGAAAGCTCCTCCAGCATCACATCTCGGGGGATGCTGATCTTCTTGCCCAGGTTCAGCTTGGACACCTCCTGCGGCATGTCTACAAGACACGGCACATGGGACACCTCAGGGATACTCTAGTTCACATGTCTTGCCTATTGCTTCCCAGCATCAGAGTCTTCAAAGCAGCCAAATACTCTTCTAAATTATTTTTTTAGGAAGCAACCTATGCACCAAATTTCTTGCAGTTACAACAGTTTGGATAGAGATAGGTGAAATTAACTCTGGATTGCAATCAAGGCAAATCCACACAGACAGGAATTACGTAAGGGTGGAGCTAGATGCACGAACCCCATGTGTTAATACCTCAGTGAGGGCAGTGGGATTGCCCAGTGCCCCTGGCTTGTCAGGTTACCATCCCGTGCTCCCTGGGATTCTGGAGTTAGAGTGACAGTCAGCTCTTTGAGCAGTGCTGACAAATAATAAACATAGACAATCCTGGGATCTTTTGGTTTAAATATTGTCCTGAAGCCATGGCAGAATGTATTGTTACTATATATTTCCATTCACACTGGTGTGCATCCAGAATAATGCCTCAGGAGAAGGTTGGTTTACAAAGTGTAATCTAGACTAGACTTCGACCAGAATATGCGATTCTTTTGAAAGACGAAATTCAAAATATGATATCGTTAGAGGCCAAACTTTGGTAGTGGTGGCCCTGCCTCCTGGGGTGTTCACTGAAGTCTTTCTCTGGGACTCAGCTGGAAGGAGCGTGAGATTTTACAAGCTGAAATTCCAATTGAAATTCGAACAATTCTTACATAAGCAGATTGCATCTTACCTTCGTGTGTCAGCTTCCCAATGAGCTTAGTGGACTTTTTCCTTTTGGCAGGAGCAGGAGTCCCTGCTAGGGGCATTCCCAAAAAGGCTTCTCTGCTTTCCTCTAAGCATACAGAAGGAAATGGAGAATGAAACACCGGATAGGTCTCTCTTGCTCATCTACAGCTAAGAGACACATGGTCTTCGTTTCACGTGCAGATTCCTTTCCTTCTCTCCCACATGAAAGGGAATCGTCCCAGTATCATCCTGTCTGGGTCATCCCAGATAGAATATCAGCACCAAGCCCTTGCCATGCTCTATGGAGACTTCATATTACACCACAACTATGGCAGCAGATCCCAGCAGAAGCACTGCCATCCAAAACAGACACTTTAATTGCAGCACAGCGATCTCCCGGCACCCATGTATGCCATGATGGTGCTGTGTTATCATGTTGTGCTGCCGTGTAGAATGTCAGCTTGGAAAATTGCTCTGTCATGACTAATGTCATTGTAAAACCATGTGGATAGCATGAGGTAATGCATGTTCTTTTATAACGGTGTTGAGTCGGCCCATGAATTATGTGGGAGCATTTTAAATAATGTGCATACTTGGTTTAGATGTTTGAATAGTCCTGTTAGAACTGGAATAGCTCCTCAGAAACCCATCAGGCTGCATATTGTGCAAAACAAAAGCGAAAGCACAAAAATACCTTGTAATTCTTGTTTATGACTGTTGGTGACTTACTGCAAAAGTGCTGGAGGAGGAAGGCACAGGCCTGTTAGAGTTGCAGGTGCAAGTTGTCTGAAGTTGCTTGCACCTGTATCTTATGTATTCATCCTACTGCATGTCATTTTGGAAAGGGAAGGGGGAAAGAAGGAGATTCCTTCCTGTCACTGTTTCCCATCTCTGAGATCTCATAGATCATAGAATCATAGAATCATAGAATGCTTAGGGTTGGAAGGGACCTCTAGAGATCATCTAGTCCAACCCCCCTGCATACGCAGGGACACCTAGAGCACGTGGCACAGGACTGCGCCCAAAAAGATGAGAAGATGAGAGATCTGTACTGCAAACATGGGAAAAGTTAGGAGAAATCCCAGCAATTTCACATTAGGCAGCTTCTCATAGTCCATCTTGAGGTTTATCCCACATAATGTGAGCTGATGTCTTCATATTAGCCCTCTTCTTGCCCAAATGACAGTACAGAAGCAGACAGATTCTCACCTAATAAATTACTAAACTTCCTTTGGGTTCAGAAATAGCAGACAGTGACTGGCCACCTCTGTCCTTGTGCCTTTTTACCCCTTTAATTGCTTAGAGCTTCAAAACTAAAGATATTAACTGTGAGTTATTTTTTAAAAGCAGGAGGCAAACTGGCTCTAGGACTAACTGCCCTCATTTTGATCAAGACATTTTTATCCTCTAAATACTTTGCATTTTTCTTCCACCATTCTTCCTTTCAGAACATGATTTTGAGAGGTGCTGACAGCTGCTAAAAGCAGCCTGGCCAGGTGAATCCAGCTCCAATGACACTGGCAGATGTTCTCGTGGATTAGGTTTTCCTTCTGATTTCCAAGCCTGAGTTTTGACTGAGATGCTGCCGTGCAGTTCCCACGAAAAAGGAGCCCATCGTGGTTGCTCTCAAAAAAAGCGGAGCAGGTGCAGCCTTGGAGGCCGCGTGTCCTTCTTGAGCAGCCGCACATCTGCTGGGCTATATAAAAGAGGCAGCTCCTGCTTGACAGCGAAGGGGCAGTGCTGCCAGGAGACACGGGGGGAGGGAGTTCCGAGGAGTTTATGGCTCATGCGATGGGTCACAAGACTGACGAAATGGAGGGAAAACGTCCCAGGACACGGGCCCCTCGGGCAGGCAGGGAGGGCTGGCCCGGTTGGGGGGCTGTGCCCCAGTGGCACGCGCGTTCCCAAGGAGCAGCACGGACGGGCTGGTCCCGTTTATCCCAGCGCATTCTCAAGGAGCAGCATGGGCGGGCTGGTCCCGTTTGTGTTTGCCACTCCAGCAGGAGCAGCGAGCACACGCCATCAGCAGCCTTTCGCTCTGGACAGGGCCCGGAGCTGCTGGAGCGCAGCTCCACCTGCCACCTCCGTCCCCGTCCTCCCCACTCTCACACACCAGACCAGGGCCACAATTGTCCTCTTCTCCCACCAGCGCTATCCCTGGGTGCAATTCCCATGGTTTTTCCCTGCTTCAGTCCCCACAGCAGTTGTTCCCTTGGCTTTGCTGCAGACCAAACCCATCTTTACCCTCTGCAGCCTGCGGGGACGCTCGTGTGGCGCGGGCGTGCGGGCAGGCTCCGCGCGGCGCTCCGTGCCGGGTGCTCTGAACCTGACTCCCGGGGCCGCTCGCGCAGGCAGCCCACGGTTATTAATAGCCGGCAGCACCGGGAGCAGGGTCTCAGATAGCACCCGAGCCAGCCCTGAGGCAAGGCGAGAGGAAAAGGTTGCACCCCGGGGCTCCTGCAGCCACCACCTCCGTCCCCAGGAGCACTGGGTGCCCTGTAAGAGCCTGGCTGCTTCCCCTCTGCCCCGCTCAACATGCTGTTCCGCTGCCTCCTCCCAAGATTTGCCTCCCCCGGCTCCTGCTTCTCAGTGATGCCCCAAGAGCTCCCACACGGCTCGCTCTTTCTACCCCCTCCCTCTGCCCCCTTCTCGTTCCACCGTTCAACCCAGCATTGTCCAGGCTCTCATATTCCTAAAATGCCCACGATTCAAGTAGCACATCAGGGAGTACAGAATAGAACTAAACATACTCATGAAACAAGAACTAGGAGGGAAACCACAGAGTCTAGAAAGCTGTTCACAGAGTCCTGGAAGGTAACGGTGGCGTGTGGTGGGAAACCCACAGCACTGAGTAGCAGGGAGACTTCCTTCCACTTGCCTGATTCATGCCGAAAACAGGGCTGCTTGCCTGATCTGGGGTAGCTTTGGCTGCCTGAGAGACTCCTCTGCTTTGTCCCTGCTCATTCTGATGCGCCACTCCCTGGTTTTCTCCCCATCCCCAACTGGGTTCTGCTTCTAGGAGGAAGGAACTGTATCTCATTTTACTGAATCACTCTAAAATGCGCAAACTTTTAAGCTTGTATGTACATCAGGAATCCTACAGAAAATAACATTCTTTCCTATTTCATATCAGGGGACAACCAAGCTGTTTACTGCATAAATGTTGACTTGAGTGGGAAAAAAACAAAGCAAAACAAAACAAAGCTGTGACTGTAGCAAGGAATCACCTGCACAGAGACTTGCAAACAAAGTTAATATAAAGGATCATTGGGAGTCAGGTAGTTTCCCTTTCTTCTATACTTTGCACAGTTGTTTTTGCCTGCACCAGGAAGGCATAAAACCTCCCAGCCCGATCGGAGTGTTGCAGTCACAAGGCATTATCACCTCGGTGCTGTTTGGAGAGGCCCTTATAAGAGTGCAGTGGCCTATGGCTGTGGGTGGGAGATGGAGACCTATTAATAATGATCACCTTTTATGCCTGTGACTTGGAGCCAGGAAATGCAGGGTAACCATCTCCTGGCCGAAAGTTTTGCATTTCCTTCTTCCTTGCATCCACATAACCATGGGTGTGCATCACATCACTGTGCCTATAGCAGAGGCCGTATCCTCACCGCTTCGTGCCTCTGCAGCAGTTTGCTTTCCACCATCCCAACAGTGCTGCTTCTTTCCCTGAGCCCCGTGGACGCAGCCGGATGATGCCCAGGGCCCAGATGGCTGCCATGCCGGTGATCTGGGAGCCACTCCATGGAGCTGTGCCAGTGGAGAACGGGGGTAGGGGTGGCACCATTGAGCTGCAAATACCACGGGGTCCCGACCACTCCTGGTGACGGTGTTTGCATCTGCACAGAGCTGGCGGGTGTCAATATAACCACAACTGACGACGCTTCACACCCACTCTGCACAAGTGCACGTGGTCTCAGTAGAGCAAGACTCTTGGTGTTGGCCAAAGCCTCCTCACTGTAGGCCGTGAAATATCTTTTTGAACATATTTATTTCTCTTGGGGTGATCGAGGAGTGTGCCGAGCATTTGCCCTAAGTTATGGAAATCAGTGGGGCTCTGCAATGCTGTGCATACCCCTTGGTGCTCCTTATGGAAGTGCTCTCCTGAACACCAAGTCAAGGCCTTGAGTGAGAAGCAGACAGGGTAGGAAGCTAACTTCCAAACCCTCCCAGCTCTCCATGCCAGCAGCCTTGGGGCAGGAAGGTGCAATTTGGGCTGTGCTGCTGATTAAGCTCGAGGGGTTGGACTAGATGATCTCTAGAGGTCCCTTCCAACCTCAACCATTCTGCAATTCTGTGAAGCAACTGGAAGCAAGAGCCAGGATGAGTGGGGAGAGGGAAGAAGAAACTAAGAGTAGAGAAAATAGGACAGGGTCTTTTTCTGGGCTCAGAAACAGGAGGTTGTGCCTGAAAAGGTAAGTGAGGAGATTTGTGTTGCTTAGATGCTGGTGACCAGCATTTAGGTCCCTGAACCAGTCACTGGGCTCCTCAGAAATTGCATTAGCAAAACACAAGGGCCGGGCCAGCCTGTTGTCCGAACAGTCCCTAAGAAAGTGGCCAGCTCCAGTTTGAAAGGTGATACGTAGTCCTCCTTCTGTGCTATGTAAAGTCCCGTTCTGTCCTTGCAGCCCTGATCTTGCAGAGGTTATTTCCATCTGCATGTGCATATATCTGTAGACAGGGTGAGCCACCGAACCCGAGAGGCTGCCTGGAATGAGCTGCACAGAGCGAGAGCCCTGCGTCCTGCCGAGGGGTGCGGGGCCACGGCCTCCTCCTGTGGCGCTCTGGTCTGTAGGGTGATTTGGATAGTCTGTGTCTGACACATGCACGCCAGGGCACGTCTTTAATTGAGATCTTTACCTCCTGTCTGTCTGCAAACAGAATGATGCCTCCATTTTCAGGTGCCAGTTTGACAACTTAATCTTGCTCCTTGCTCTTCTCTATGGGCAGTTTCTCCCGCAAGATAGAAAAGTGCAGTTCAGTAGTCTACAAAAATCACTGCTGTGTCCAGCAGAGGAAGACAGGTTTTATTTATGTCCCACTGTGATGCCAGGTTTAGCAGCTCAGTGGCTTTTCCCAC